CGCGATGCACGTTGCAAGCAGCAGCCAGACTTTCTTTACAGTGAACAGCAGCGATGAATAATAAATGTTTTTTTTTTCACTGTACAATTCAAAAGATTAAGCCCGAGGTCCGACCCGACCAGAGTCATTTGCAAATATTTTCGACCCGAACCCGGCCCGAACCCGCGGGTCCCGTCGGGTTTGTCGGGGCGACCCGACCCGTTGAGAACTCTAAGAGGCAGGCAACAGTGACTGCCCTCTCTTGGTAGTTTTCATCCTGCTGCAAACACTGTTTCGGGTGATACGGGGGAACCCCCTCCCCCCTCCATGGGGGCCCAGAGGCCTCCCAGCAGGCCTGGATCCCAACCGGATCCGGCCTCATGGAAGAGAGAGGACACTCTCTCACAAAGAACCAAGGACAATCTCAGGAGTTTGTAACAAAGACTCTAACCCACCATGCAAGTTCATCATATCTTCTTCATCCAACAAAGAAGAAAATGATTTAAGACTTCAACATCCGACACTTGCAGAATCATCAACAACTTCAGTTTTCAACAACTTTGATAATAGTGTACGCTACCCAGGCATGCAAGTATACTTTTGATTTGATGCTTTGAAAATGAAATGCTGATGTTCTTCTCATATAGTTACATGGAACTTCTCAATAGTTCCGTTTTCGGTTTCGTTTCCGTTTTCGTTTTCGTTCTATCACTCACCTATTTATGTATTCATGTGTGTATGTGGTTTAGTTTATTTATATTCATATAAATATCTATATTTAGTTAATAAAACTTGTACATAATATGTATTTGGTTCTGTTCTGTTGCAATACAAAGTCACTTTTACGATCGCGTTTTTTTGCTACTTGCTCAAAGTGCTGTACATGCTAAGAAATAATTATTCTTCTGTGGCCATGGAAGATACCCTTTTCTTAGAATAAATTAATAATCAAAAGAGTTCGTTGGACGAACTGATTAATTGATTGTAATATTAATTCAGCCACATCAAGTTAATCCAATTAACTGACCCAAATATTCATAATTAATAATAACAAGTTATTATTGATTATTAATATTTCCAAAAAACTGAGTTCCTTACATTGCTCAGGATATAATGAAGGAAAAATAGCATGAAAACAACACCTTAGACTGTGACAAGGTGTAGAAAAAAGAAACAAAATAAAAGAAAATGGGAAAAGAATGCGGTGGATATGAAGTGACCAAATAAAATCAGTTGACTATCAAGAAACTGTAGTACATGATTTGAGATACAGGGTTCCCGTGTCTTTAAAAGGGCAAACATGGAAATGGTGTCAAAAACAAAAGTTTTAGAATCTCTAGTACTGTTACATGAAACATAAATAAATTGCCTTAAAGAAAATCGTTCCAATAAGGAAACAATTCAGTTTATGTGCGGTTACAGCAAGAGGAGGAATTTGATTTAACTCTGTGTAGAGAGACACATGTGTGACTGTATTTAGCTGTGTGTTTGTGTGACCATGCTCCAAGCTAAGGTGACAAAGGTTGCTGTTGAAAATTGTCATGCAAATTTGGACTTGTTGCTGCAACAGGGAGCCATGAACATCTCTGTTTAGTGAGATGGGGAATGATACTTGTGACCAGGTTGTAATTGGGCTCAAATTACTTTTCACCTAGGTTTGTTTACTAGAGCATGGTAAAAGACAAAGTTGTGAGAAAAGCATCTACATAGTTAACCCTCTGGGGACCAGAAACGTGCCCGCGCGTTTTGCTCGTTTTTTTTTTAGCAATGCAAAATAAACTCAAACTGCTCTGTTAATTTTGATCTTTCATGTTCGTGTTATACATCAATCGATCCTGTTCAGTTTCTATTTTTCTGTATACTCACAATAAAAATAAAGTGTTTTGCTTTTTGCCAAATAAAGAAAAATGAACATGATGCGAGTTCTTCACTCTCTCTGTCAGCGAACTCCAATTTGAAACGCGTTCGGAAATGATCTGTAACTCCACGAAAATTCAGTCAAACAGGCAAACATACCCACGGGCATAAAGCTAGAGATCGCATCTTTTAAATGAAGTCATTTATATTAAAAACAAATATTCTCAGCTTCTGTAATCTGTATGAAAATAGAGCGATTCCAGTCGAGCTCATTCACTTTAATTCGTTCACGCCTACTCCCGGAGCGCGCTATTCACAAGATAATGTGTTAAGCCATCTATGGAAAACAGGTAAACGCCCCCAAGCAAATGCATTAAAGGCTTCAAGTTTCATCATTCAGTTCACCTGCGCGTCAGGAAGATGGCACGATACACCGGTGTAGAAGCTCTTCAGCTCGTCCTGGATACTAGAATCCACATTTTCATCAGAAGAAGAGCGCGACTCTGATGACGACCGTTTGATCGAGCCGTGGATAGAATTTCGTATGAGTAAGTATTTAGTCTTACTTCCATTAGTTGACAAGCTATTCAATATAAACATGTAGCTTACACATTATACTGGGTGGACTATTTTCCACTTGCCATCCAGAGTATTGACATTTGATATATTCAACACGATCTAATGAAAGTGCATATCTATACCATGAATTTAATATCTCGTGTTAAAGAGAAAAATGTTTTTTGTTGTTTTTTTTGTCCATGCTACGCACTGTAAACCCCAGTTAGGAAATTTGTATGTGTAAATGATATGTTTCGATCATTGTGTATGAAAGCTAGAATGTAGAAGTTATTTTAGAAAATAGGCCTACTAGATGTTTAGATTATGTTTTGACTAGTTTAAATGCTGCCTCGTTATTATCATTGACGATGCATGCTCGCAAATATCAGTTGTAAATGTGCTGAAATGTGTAAATATACCCAGTTAATGAATTGCGCAAATGTGTTTTGTTTGCGGTGTGCCTCTCCGGCAATGGCCCATTGACACGCATATTTGTTGCACTCGCCTAAAATTATTTACATCAGTTATTCATTATAGACTAATGCTGCTATGGTTATATTTATGTAATAATATTCCTCAACTTTAAAAAAAAAAAAGGAATGTAGCTTCATCACTACCTCCGCCTGCAACTCGGAGTGCGCTTAGCAACACAGTCAGAAAGAGTAAGTACATATTTACCTACAATTTCACAGATGTTAGTTCAATTTTGTTTATACTTAGTGTTAATACAATATGAGCCTGTATGACTTCACAATTGCTTTGTTTATAGCCGACTGATTATTTATTTATTTTACTCACATTTGATTTGCTTAGAGCAAATTTAGAACATTTAGTTTCTCCATATAGAGGAATTACAATAAAACAGATTGAAAAACCTTCGAATCTCCTCTCATTCTTTGTTCAGGCTGCCTCACTTGATGGGCCATTAGCCATTGGGGGAGTGTCTGTCACACCCCTGGTCTGAATCTCATTAATATTGATAGGCCATTACCACTCCCACGCATAAACCTCTTCTGACCAAAAAACTGTCATACAAAGTATGAATTCATGTTTTGCTTTATGTGAACAATTAGGCAGGATGATTTTCACATCATTTTGAAGCCAGAACTCGAAGCGACAACATCCATTAGTCAAAAGTCTTGTGGACACATATTTAGTATGTGTTTAGTGGTCTTATTTCAGCAACTTTCATTTTTATTTTTTTCAATAACCACGCATAAACATTATTCTCTTAAAAATACAAACATGTACATACATGTTGCTAACATATCATGGTAGCCCCGTTTGTGCTATATAGAGTGAATTTACACCTTTGCCATTAACATGTTTATAACTAACTGAAAAAAGCACAAATGTCAGTGCATGTCAAAACATCCCAAGGGCCCCAAAAACACCTTGGTCCCCAGAGGGTTAATAAACATAAAGCCGTGTGGCGTTTCTGTGCTCCTGTGTATGGTTTAACTCCAGCTATATGGGAAATAGCAGAGTGTGTCACTAAAGACAAACACATGTAAAACATGTCAATTGAAACTGATTAACAATTCCAGTATTACAATTATTAGTTTTTAACACAAGACATTTGGTCTAGTATGCATGTAGCATCTACAACCCCTAACCCAAGTGTTTTTATGGAATAAACTCAATCTATGTGCATACATAACACAAACAACTATTGTGTGTTTTATTAAAACAACAATGTTATGCACAAATACAATTTTGAAAATGCAGACAGGTTCAATTAAATTAAGATGTTAAACTATTAAGCTATTTGCTAATGGACTGCTAGCCGACTAGCAAATGACGCTAATAGCTGAAGGCCTTGAGTGGCCAAAGTTGTTAGCTTTTCTAGTTAGTTTTAGATGCATTGATGCATACTTTTCCTCTGTATGGCCTGTTTTGTGACAGGAATTACAGAATCTGTTCAGTTTGGCACAGTGAGGCTTTCACAGCTACCTCACCATGTATTTGCGTGACTCAATTTTTGTTACCCAGCTGACAATACCTTTGAATGTATTTTGTGCTGGAGAAGCACCACACATGAGTGATTGCTGTACACGCGGCCCTTCATTTGTAAGCAGGAATTCAAGGACAATTACACTGTTGTGGATGACACCTTTAATTCCAGAATACTCCTCAAAAAGTTCAAACATATTTTCTGCATGCGTCTTAAACGATTCTTCAGTACTCTGTTTCCGATTGAATATCAATTCCCATCCAACAGGACTACAACCCAGCAGATCACGAAGTTGTTTTAGTCTATTAAAGATTTCACTCTCAGGCTCATTTTGATACATTGACTGCACAATGGTGCCTGTCATCAAAAGCTGTAGTATCTTTAGATCAGAACATCTGGAATTGAGCTGATAACAAATATCAAATATCTTTTGGTTTGAGCTGAAAAGGTCACAAAATGTGACAATTTACTCTCAGTCTAGAGCCCTGTATAGTGCTGCATTTCTGCTTTTACATAAGCACCACCTACTGTCAGAGAGTGAATTTGTTTTTGTTTTTTGCATTGATCTGAACTGAAAAATTAGACACTCCTGTTGTTTGAACAAGTTAATAACTGTAGATATCAATTAATCAACAGTGTCCTGTGTTCACCACACACCGGCTATAGGGGGAGAGGAGAGATTTGGCTATAGGGTGATGTGTGGCTAACTTACACAGAAGAGACTTTGTTGCTCAGCACATGAAAATAAACTACTTACCGTGATCTCAGACTGTGTTTACGTGGTTTCTCCACTGTATGGATCTTCATGTGTAGCTTCAGGTGACTTTTAAAAGAGAAACTCGACCCGCACTGATCACACGTGTGCAGCTTCTCTCTGCTGTGGATCCTCTCATGTGATCTCAGATGTGCTGATCGACTGAATCTCTTGTCACAGTGTGAACACTTGTGAGGTTTTTCTCCAGTGTGGATCCTCTCGTGTGTTTTCAGAGATGATGACACACTGAATCTCTTGTCGCAGTGTGAACACTCGTAAGGTTTTTCTCCAGTGTGAATTCTCTGGTGCTTTTTTAAACTGTCCGCTCTAGTAAAAGTCTTCTCACACTCAAAGCACATGTACTCTCTCACACCAGTATGAATTTTCTGATGTCCGTGTAAAGATTGCAGCAGTGAAAAACTCTTTCCACACACAGAACATGAATGCGGCTTCTCCTTCGTATGAACTGTCAGGTGTGTCTTCAGGTTTGATGCCCTAAAAAATGTTTTTCCGCATTGATCACATGAGAACGTCTTCTCTCCGATGTGGATTATCATGTGTTTTTTAAGGGATGATGAGTCACTGAATCTCTTCCCGCACTGATCACAAGTGTGCAGCTTCTCTCCAGTGTGGATCCTCTCATGTGTTTTCAGATTTGATGACTGACTGAATCTCTTGTCACAGTGTAAACACATGTAAGGTTTTTCTCCAGTGTGGATCCTCTCGTGTGTTTTCACAGATGATGACATACTGAATCTCTCATCACAGTGTGAACACTTGTAAGGTTTTTCTCCAGTGTGAATTCTCTGGTGCAGTTTTAAATTGCCCGATGTAGTAAAAGTCTTCTCACACTCAAAGCACATGTACTCTCTCACACCAGTGTGAGTTTTCTCATGTCTATGTAAAATAGACAGCAGTGAAAAACTCTTTCCACACACAGAACATGAATGCGGCTTCTCCTTCGTGTGAACTGTCAGGTGTGTCTTCAGGTCTGATGACCTAAGAAATGTTTTTCCGCATTGATCACATGTGAACAGCTTTTCTCCGGTGTGGATCATCATGTGAACATTAAGGTTTGCTGATTGAATGAATCTCTTCCCGCACTGATCACATGAGAACGGCTTCTCTCCGGTGTGGATCCTCATGTGAAGATTAAGGTTTGCTGATTGACTGAAGCTCTTCCCGCACTGATCACATGAGAACGGCTTCTCTCCGGTGTGGATCCTCATGTGATGCTCAAGACTTTGTTTGCTTGTGAGACTCTTTCCACACTGAGTGCAGGTGAAAGATTTCTTGGCTCGTCTTTTCTTTAAAAATGTCTTTTTAGTCTTTGAGCGACTCAAAGGTTTTCCTCCAGGTTGGACATGATGTTCCTCCTCCTCTTCACTCAGTTCTTCTCTCTCCTCGCTATCTTCCATCAGGTCTGAAAAAATAGTACATTTAATTTTCAGTACATCAAAATAATTCAAATAAAGAAATATAAAGTGAAAGGAGATGAAAGTAAGGCCTGATGTAATGTAGAAAGTAGACAACTGCTATAAAATATCATGATAATTGCATGGCTTTTTATAAATTGATTAGGTGTCATCGAAACTTTCCATAAATAAGGAAAATGTATCTTCCAATTATTATTTTTTAAAACATTATTAAATATATTTGATTAATGACACAATTATCTAACATGATATTAACATTAATTAAAATATACAATACTGCCATGTTTTGACACCAACTTTGAGATTGATATTTATTTGACTAAAAACATTTTAATTATTAATGGCCGTTCACACTAGACTTTTCCTTTCACTGACTTCCATTCATACTGTAAAGGGAGGCCCATCTGAGGATGGCACTTCCTTCACTTCATCCCGACGCAGAGACGCGGGAAGTCATTTTCGACAGGGGGTGCGTGCGTGCGTGACCAAGCAATTACAGGAACGTGGTTATAGGAAAAGTCCACTTCTAAACAGATCTATTAATTACTAGTACCTAGAAAAGCGCTATATAAATGTAACGAATTATTACTACTCTCCCTCAAAACCTTTTTTTTTTTCCATTTGCATTCACGCAGGCCAAGTGGCCATGGGGACTATAAGGAGGAGTAAGGGAGTGATGCAAGCACGGCAACGATCTTTACACCGTAAAACTTCAAATAATAGCCGAGTCCCAAATAGACGCCTGTCACTTTTACACGCCTGGTGTGGCGACAGGTTTGGGTAAATAAAGGCCGGTTTCAAATAGAGGCCGGGTCTGTTTTTTTAGTTTCGGGTTGTATTTAATCTTCTAAAACCCGTCGGATCGTCCGCTTTTTGGCGGCTGCCAAAGCCTTTTTTGATCGGTGAGTGTTGTAGAGTAGAATGACTGAGACTGATGCGTTAGACACATACACTCACCTAAAGGATTATTAGGAACACCTGTTCAATGTCTCATTAATGTAATTATCTAATCAACCAATCACATGACAGTTGCTTCAATGCATTTAGGGGTGTTGTCCTGGTCAAGACAATCTCCTGAACTCCAAACTGAATGTCAGAATGGGAAAGAAAGGTGATTTAAGCAATTTTGAGCGTGGCATGGTTGTTGGTGCCAGATGGGCCGGTCTGAGTATTTCACAATCTGCTCAGTTACTGGGATTTTCACGCACAACCATTTCTAGGGTTTACAAAGAATGGTGTGAAAAGGGAAAAACATCCAGTATGCGGCAGTCCTGTGGGCGAAAATGCCTTGTTGATGCTAGAGGTCAGAGGAGAATGGGCCGACTGATTCAAGCTGATAGAAGAGCAACTTTGACTGAAATAACCACTCGTTACAACCGAGGTATGCAGCAAAGCATTTGTGAAGCCACAACAAGCACAACCTTGAGGCGGATGGGCTACAACAGCAGAAGACCCCACCGGGTACCACTCATCTCCACTACAAATAGGAAAAAGAGGCTACAATTTGCAAGAGCTCACCAAAATTGGACAGTTGAAGACTGGAAAAATGTTGCCTGGTCTGATGAGTCTCGATTTCTGTTGAGACATTCAGATGGTAGAGTCAGAATTTGGCGTAAACAGAATGAGAACATGGATCCATCATGCCTTGTTACCACTGTGCAGGCTGGTGGTGGTGGTGTAATGGTGTGGGGGATGTTTTCTTGGCACACTTTAGGCTCCTTAGTGCCAATTGGGCATCGTTTAAATGCCACGGCCTACCTGAGCATTGTTTCTGACCATGTCCATCCCTTTATGGCCACCATGTACCCATCCTCTGATGGCTACTTCCAGCAGGATAATGCACCATGTCACAAAGCTCGAATCATTTCAAATTGGTTTCTTGAACATGACAATGAGTTCACTGTACTAAAATGGCCCCCACAGTCACCAGATCTCAACCCAATAGAGCATCTTTGGGATGTGGTGGAACGGGAGCTTCGTGCCCTGGATGTGCATCCCACAAATCTCCATCAACTGCAAGATGCTATCCTATCAATATGGGCCAACATTTCTAAAGAATGCTTTCAGCACCTTGTTGAATCAATGCCACGTAGAATTAAGGCAGTTCTGAAGGCGAAAGGGGGTCAAACACAGTATTAGTATGGTGTTCCTAATAATCCTTTAGGTGAGTGTAGTTTGACAGGGCGCAAACAAGGAGAGAGAGAGAGAGAGAGAGAGAGAGAGAGAGAGAGAGAGAGAGAGAGACGCGCGCACTCTCTTTCACGTCTTCACACAACACAAGCGCTGTCTTGCTCTCTCTCTCTCGCGCATATTAATCAAAATCAATGGACATGATAGTAAAAGGTTCGTTTCTTTATAATAGGCATGCTAATCACAATCATATAGGCTACCATCTGGGCCTGCACAGCGGCAGGAAAAAGACGCAGATAGGTAAGACACCGTGTCTCTACCTTACGATGATTTTGGTACACCAAAGGTAGATTTGCGCTCTGGAGTTCGGCTGATAAACTCTGACATGAGCTAACCAATTATATTGCTATAGCGCTGATATTGATATAGACTAACGTTATATCACTAGCAGTTTTTTAGACGGTGTTTTTTTGTGCTGCGTAGGCTGAATCGTAATCGCGTGATTCGCGTCAAGACACCTGATTGGCCAATACTACACACTGAAGATAAATTAAATCATTTTTAATTAAATAATTACTAAAAATATCCCTCTCTTCATCCCACACCCCAAACATGACATAAAAAATGTTGTGGAACAGAAACAACAACCAGAGATATACACTCACCGGCCACTTTATTAGGTACACCTGTCCAACTGCTCGTTAACACTTAATTTCTAAGCAGCCAATCACATGGCGGCAACTCAGTGCATTTAGGCATGTAGACATGGTCAAGACAATCTCCTGCAGTTCAAACCGAGCATCAGTATGGGGAAGAAAGTTGATTTGAGTGACTTTGAACGTGGCATGATTGTTGGTGCCAGAAGGGCTGGTCTGAGTATTTCAGAAACTGCTAATCTACTGGGATTTTCACGCACAACCATCTCTAGGGTTTACAGAGAAAAAGAAAAAACATCCAGTGAGCGGCAGTTCTGTGGGCGGAAATGCCTTGTTGATGCCAGAGGTCAGAGGAGAATGGCCAGACTGGTTCGAGCTGATAGAAGGGCAACAGTGACTGAAATAACCACTCGTTACAACCGAGGTATGCAGCAAAGCATTTGTGAAGCCACAACACGCACAACCTTGAGGCGGATGGGCTACAACAGCAGAAGACTCCACCGGGTACCACTCATCTCCACTACAAATAGGAAAAAGAGGCTACAATTTGCAAGAGCTCACCAAAATTGAACAGTTGAAGACTGGAAAAATGTCGCCTGGTCTGATGAGTCTCGATTTCTGTTGAGACATTCAGATGTTAGAGTCAGAATTTGGCGTAAACAGAATGAGAACATGGAACCATCATGCCTTGTTACCACTGTGCAGGCTGGTGGTGGTGGTGTAATGGTGTGGGGGATGTTTTCCTGGCACACTTTAGGCCCCTTAGTGCCAATTGGGCATCGTTTAAATGCCACGGCCTACCTGAGCATTGTTTCTGACCATGTCCATCCCTTTGTGGCCACCATGTACCCATCCTCTGATGGCTACTTCCACCATGTCACAAAGCTCTAATCATTTCAAATTGGTTTCTTGAACATGACAATGAGTTCACTGTACTAAAATGGCCTCCACAGTCACCAGATCTCAACCCAATAGAGCATCTTTGGGATGTGGTGGAACGGGAGATTCGCATCATGGATGTGCAGCCGACAAATCTGCGGCAACTGTGTGATGCCATCATGTCAATATGGACCAAACTCCCTGAGGAATGCTTCCAGCACCTAGTTGAATCTATGCCACGAAGAATTGAGGCAGTTCTGAAGGCAAAAGGGGGTCCAACCCGTTACTAGCATGGGGTACCTAATAAAGTGGCCGGTGAGTGTATGTATAAGCTATCATTTGATTGTCATCACAGTTTGCCAACAGGGGGTGCTGCAGCACCTGCAGCACCCCTACTTCCCGCGTCCATGTCTCGACGCCAAAAAATAAAAGGTCACAATAGGCGACCCACAGCTCACACCACTGTCAAAGTGGTTTAATAAAAGACATGATCATTCAAAAACCCCCTGCTGAACGAGGGACTTTGTAACCACGGGGCAACACCAAGTGTTTAACAAAGTGCTGTACACGGATATCCTACATCAATGATACATACAATCAACAGCACAAGAATAAATAAAAAAAAAGAATAAACAACTCTCACATAGACTGCCAGACTGTAGTAATAGGTTTGAAGATTAGATTTAAAAACAGCAAGGGTTTGAGCCTGTCTGATGTACAGGGGCAAACTATTCTAGAGCTTCGGTCCTGCTACTGCAAATGCTCTTTCACCCCTGCTCTTCAGCTTTACCTGTGGGACAACTAAAAGCAAATGGTCAGCAGACCTAAGCGCTCTTGACGGAGCATACAGCTTAATCGCAGCCAATGCAGTGTTGACAGAACCGGGCTAATATGGTCATACTTCCTGGTTCTGGTAAGAACTCGAGCGGCTGCGTTTTGGACCAGCTGTAGTTTGTTTATTAAGCGTGCAGGGCAACCACCCAGTAGAGCATTACAATAATCTAGCCTTGAGGTCATGAACGCTTGAACTAATTGTTCCGCATTTGTCAATGAGACCATATGGCGTAATTTAGATATATTTTTCTGATCGTGTCGCTCACTAGAGCAGATGCGCGTTTACTCTGATCGGCCTCGCTCACGACTCGATCCAGTGAGAAGCTCTTGAATTTTAGTTTAAAGTTTAAAGACAGATGAAACAACGCTGTCAAACAGGAGAAACACTGTGCGCAACGATCCAGTCAGAATCTGAATTGATACTGAATCAATTTACCATGGATTTACTGTAACGTTACGTTAGCCTAGTAATATTAACTGCACCACGA